CTGAAACAAATAGTGTAAAGGCATTACTCAAAAAAATGGCTATATTTTAACCTTTTGGGTTTAACTGGGAAGGGGAGGGGATATCCATGAATGAAGAAAAAGAACTATGAGGCAAAAGGCACAAAACCTGAACCAACAGAGCAGTCAAGTAGGAGGAGGGAAGAAGATATATGTAGCAAACAGGGCAAGGAGATGTCTGATATGGTGGGAAGTAATCTTTGGCTTGTTACTGCTTTAAAAGACTACTTTGCACAGATCTCATACTTGACATTATGTTTCTCATACAATTTCTCATTTGTGCTTAAAACAAGGACAGTATCACCACAAGTTTCTTTAGAACTTGGACTAGAATTTACAAAGGAAGACTTCGGCCACTCCCTTGTCTAGAACGTTGCTTAAAATTTTCTACCCTAGGCCAGGCACGGTGGCTCATGTCTGTAATCCCAGCACTTTGTGAGGCCAAGGTGGGAGGATCAGAAGGTCAAGAGATGGAGACCATCTAGGCCAACATGGTTAAACTTGATCTCTACTAAAAATACAAAAATTAGCTGGGGGTGGTAGCATGCACCTGTAGTCCCAGCTACTCAGGAGGCTGAGGCAGGAGAATCACTCAAGCCCGGGAGGCAGAGGCTGCAGTGAGCCAACTGCACCACTGCACTACAGCCTGGCGACAGAGCGAGACTCCGTCTCAAAGAAAAAAAAATTCTACCCTATGTAACAGGGGTTTCAACCTGTAGATTGTTATTTATCAATAAGCTACAATATCTTACCAAGTAGATCTCCAAATCATTTTACCATACTCCTATATTCACCTGAGGTCATAAAGATTCTGGCAGAGATGAAGGCCCAGGCTCTTTTCTTTCCTTATACTACTTCACCTTTTCTCAATGAGTCATGCTATAAAATGCTTCTAACATAGCCCCTGCATCTATACCTCCCTGTCCCAGCTTTCTATTAGCAACTGGCATTAAGAGCTAACAGTTATTGAGCACCAACGATATGCGAGGTACTATACTAAACGTTTCCAACACATTATCTCAATTAATTCACAAAGTTTTGATAAGGCACTTTCTTGTTCCCATTTTATAGCTGAGGTTAAGCACCTTATTTAAGTTCACTCAGCTAGGAGTCAGAAACAGGAGTTGAACCCAGGCATTCTGATTCCAGAGTCTTTAGTCCTATTCCATTCTCACTTCATTATCATAGTTTCAGTGAGAGCCAAAATGACTCCTCATGGAATAATAAAGGGAGAGGCAGGGTGGTTACTCCCGGTGTGAGTTTAAATACCATGACAAAAGGAGGGGCTCTAGAGAAGTTCCTATGGGTAAGGTACAAATTTCTGTCTATAATGTTTACTAGATCTAGGAATTTACACAAATGATATAAATGTCAAAAATGCATCATCATATATATCCATATAAAGCAATTAGGGGATGTGAACTGTGGCTTAACAACTTCACAAACTGTCATTTTGGGTTCATACTGGGATCCCCAAATAAAGAAAAATAATAGCTAAAGACAGCTTATCGCAAATTTATTTGCATGACACATTTAGGGTGCTTTTTAGTTATTTTAAAGTTCATGGTTAAGTTAATAGTATCCTCAGAGAATGAGAATCAGCTGTCCTGTGACAGTTGTATTTTCTAATAATTATGTAAAATTACATAATAAGCTTTCCATAAAGGAAAAACAGCCTACTTTGAAACAGAAAACCCAGGAGCAAATTTATCATAAAGAGGTTTATTAAACTTGTAAACCCCTCTTCCTATTATCTATTTAAACACTTCTAACTATTAAACATTAAAGCACACACATTTTGCTTCTGTCCTGAAATCTATTTCCTCCTTCAATTTCTTAAGTGACATAATTAGGGATAAAGAAATTTCAGTTTACTCATGAAGACCTTATAAATTAAAGTATCTACTCTTGATGATATGATCTAAAATTTGGGATATAATAACTGATGGCATCCAAAATGAATCACAAGATGAATACAAATATTTTATATTTTCAGAAATAAATTTCAGCCCTGATTATTATTAAAATTAGCATTACTCTTGTCAGCGAAATTTATAAAAGATTAAAAAGATTAGAGAAAGGACTTTTAGAGGAGACGTGAAATGATTTTTAAGTTAATTCAACAGATCACTAAGTTGGACACACATTTATGAATAGGGACAGTCATGATATATTATGTATAAATTTGCTTGTTTCAATCACTGCAGCTCAAAGAATGGTCCAATAAAGAAGACAAATCATATTACTTAAGAGGGTGAAGAGCTCCCAAATAAAAATAGGATGATTCTCTTCTATCTAAAAAAATGAACGCTGAGAGGCAGTGTATTCAAAACTTACAAAAATCCAAATATTTGGATGGGGGTTCAACAATGTGTTCATTAAATCTTAGAATTAGGGACCTTTCATTGAAAGTAGTTTAAAGGTATGTAAAATGAAGCATAGTTTTATACAATATGTACAACTCTTACAGAACTAATTATCTATCACAACAGAATATGAAAGAGATTATATGTTTAGGGGAAAATATGAATATTCAGGCCTTGATATCATGGATGGCAACCAAAAAGTCTACAAAGTCACTTAGAGTCTCTATGAATCACAGTAGTGAATGGAATGAATCAGTGATATGACCCAAAATGCTCTTTGTAGGCTTCCATGCACAGGAAACAACATATGTAATATACTCAGATTATGTTACATTTTAACTCTAAAGGATGCATTTTGTGTAGCAACAAATTACTTATTTTCCTTGTAGTACTGGACATAAGGGGTAAATATGCCACAGAAATGAGAAAAGGATAAGATGGTGAAGAACAGAATATTACTTATGCCTGCTAATGCTACCTGCTGGGTTAGACTAGAATATATAATTCCTAAAGAATACTGAAGTTCAGAAATTAGTACTACACAGAACATAACTTGTGCATGATTACTTCCTCTAACCTATATTTTAAAAGCCAGTAAATATTTTTTGAGAAGAAAGAAAAAGAAAAAAATTTCAGAAATAATGTCCGAGAATTTTCCAGAACTAATGAGAGATATTAAGCTACAAATCTATGAAGCCTAGAGAACTGATGTAGGATAAATACAAGAAACAAAAACAACAACAACAAAAATAACCCAAAGAAACAGAATTATACCTAAGAATAACATATTCAAACTGCAGAAAGTCAGAGAAAAAATTTGAATAACACTGGGCTGGAGGAACCTTATCTAGAGAGGAACAAGAATTATATGTGCCTTCTCTTCAGAAATCATGCAAGCAAGAAGAGTGGAAGAAAATATTTAAAGATGTTTTAATTCTTTTGAAAGAATAAAACCACCCATTTAGAATTCTGTATACAGCAAAATTTCTCCTTCCCTTTTGAAGGATAATTAAGAATTTCTCAGACAAACAAAACAGGAAATTTGTTGCTAGCTTCAGAGAGACAAAAAATGATATAGGTCACAAACTAAAATATTTATTAAGAAGTGTTAGAGAAGGTACACATGAAATCTTTTTTAAATTCTTAATTTATCTACAGTGTATTCAAAATAATACTAGCAACAATGTATTTGGTGATTACAGCTTATGGATAAGTCAAGTGAATGACAGCAATGCTTTAAGGGATGGGAGAAAGAAATCAGGAATACTCTGTTATAAGGTCCTGGCATTATATATCCCATGAAGGCATATATAAAGTCATCTGAAAGTGGACTTGGATTAGTTGTAATATATATTGCAAGCTCTGGGGCAACCACTAAAAGAAGTTATAATTGATATGCTAAGAGAGAATGAAAAATGGAATCATTATAAAATGATCAATTAAAACCAGAGAAGGCAGAAAACTAAAGGAATATAAAAAAGAAAACGAAAATAGGGCAACAATTATAGAAAACAGCCACAATTACAGAAACAACCCAACTTATATGAATAATCACATTAAATGTAAATAGCCCAAAATATACTAGAGACAGAGTAGATTTAAAAAAAAAAAAAAAAAAAAAAAAAGCAAGACCCAACTACATGTTAGGTACAAAAACCCACTTTAAATATGAAGATATACGCACAGGTTAAAAGTAAAAGGTTGGAGAAAAATATACCACACTAACACAAATCAAAAGAAAGCTAGAGTAGCTCTATAAATTTCAGATAAAGTAGACTTCAGAGTAAGGAAAATTATCAGCAATATCTTACCTGAGCTCTGATACTGAACAACAAAGTTTTTAAAAAAAGAATAAAAAACAAAAAAATCATCAGTAATAGAGGGCATTATATAATGATAGAGGGTTAACCATCAAGAAGATGCAATTATTCCTAATATGTATGATGTACCTAACAATTGAGTGTCAAAATGTATGAGGTAAAAACTTATAGAATTGCAATGAGAATATTCAAATTCACTATTATACTTGGAGACTTCAATACCTGTCTATCAGTAATTAACATAACCAGCAGGGAGAATATTGGTAAAGATATAATTGAACTGAGCAGCACCACCAATCTAATTGATTTATAGAATACTTCACCCATCCACAGTAGAACACATTTTCTTCTCAAGTTCACAGGGAACGTTTTACCAAGATAGGCAATATTCTGGCCTACAAAACATGCCTTAACAAATTTAAAAGAATAGATAGCATACAAAGTATGCTTTCAAACCACAATGGAATTAAACTAGAAATCATTAACAAAAAGATAGCTGAAGCATTTTGTGTTATTTTTTTATCAGGTCTCCAAGTGCAAGCCTGGACCCAGAAAGTCTGAAGTCCTGCCTGCCTCAGCTAATCAGCCCCGCTGCCCGGCCATTATTCATAATCACCCAGTGGAGCGTCCCCTGAACATTAAGCTTTTCACCCAACCCTGCCATCTTGACTGTTCTTGCTTTGTGAATGTCCCTTCACCCCATGCTCCCATCTTAACTATTCTTATGCCTTACCTCACCCGCCATTGTAACTGAGCTTATGGTAATGTATATATTCCTTACCCCTAGCCCCACCACTGTAACTGATCTTACTCCGTACTCTGTAACACTCCTGCCCCCTCCCCAAAAGATCTGCCCCAACCTATAAAACCAACTCCTATCCCACTGCCCTTTGCTGGGGTGGGAGAGGGAGGGGAGTCTCTTCAATCAAAACACACATTTTAACATTTATAACATAAGAATCAAAGATGTGTCAAGAAATAAAAAATATTTTAAACTAAATGAAAACAAACCATTAAAATTTGTGGAATGTTGCAAAAGTGGTACTTAAATGGAATTTCATAGCACTGAATACATATAACAAAAAGGAAGAGAACGCTAAACCCAATTATCTAAGCTTTCACATTAGCAAACTAAAAAAAGGACAAATTATATCCAAAGGAAGCAGAAGAAATCAATGAAATTGAAAATAGAAAAACAACAGAGAAAATTAACAAACTGAAAAGCTAATTCTTTGAAAATATCAGTAAAAACTAATCAACCCTTAGTGAGGCTAACCAAAAAAGAAGGAGAGAAGACTCAAATTACTAATATTAGAAATAAAAGATGGGCCACAACAACTAATCACATGGACATTAAAATGATAATAAAGGAATATTATGGAAAACACTGCACTCACAAATTTGATAGCTAACATGAATTGAACCAATTCCTTGAAAGACCCAATCTACCAAAACTCACACAAGGAGAATCTGGTAATCTGAACAGGTCTCTATATTGATCAAAGAAAATGAATAAACAATAATTTTCTAAAACAGGAAGCACCATTGGTGCTCACAAAGTTTCACTGGTGAATTCTACTGAACATTTAAGGAACAAATGATGCCATTTCTGTGTAATCTCTTCCAGAAAACAGAAACAGAGGGAATACTTCCTAAACCATTCTATGGGGCTAACATTACACTAATACCAAAATCACATAATGACATCACAAGAAAGGAAACAGACTAATAGCTCTCATTAATGCAGATGCAAAATCTTCAACAAAATATTAGCAAATAAAACCTAACAATGTATAAAAAGAATTACATACCATGACCCATTGGAATTTATTTCAGAATCTAGTGCTGGTTCATCACTGAAAACTCAATTAAGATAGTCCATCGAATCAACAGGCTAAAGAAGAGAAACAATTTAATAATATCAACAGATCCAAAAAAAGTAATCTTAGTGAATTTAAAAATCCACCAAGAACAACTTCCTTGACTTGATAGAGAACATCTACAAACAAACTACAGCTAACTACATAATGGTGAGAAACTTGATACCCTCCTCCTAAGTTGGAAACAACACAAGGATGGCCCCTCTCTCCATTCCTATACAACACTAAAAACAAAAGAGGCCAGTCAGTAGTGGAAGTCAATGCAACAAGACAAAAGAAAGAAACACAAGGTATACAGATTGGGATGGAAAACATAAAACTATCTTTTTTCACAGATGACATGGCCATTTATGTAGGAAATCCCAAGAACTGGCACCCCCACGCCTGCCCCTCCCCCTGCCAAAAAAAAAAAAAAAAAAAAAAAAAACCAGCAGAAAAACCCTGCTGGAACTAACAAGTAATTATATTAAGATTGCAGGATACAAGGTTGATGTACAAAAGTCAAATGTGGCTGGGTGTGGTGGCTCACGCCTGTAATCCCAGCACTTTGGGAAGCTGAGATGGGTGGATCACCTGAGGCCAGGAGTTTGAGACCAGCCTGGCCAACATGGTGAAACCTGGTCTCTACTAAAAACACAAAAATCAGCTAGGTGTGGTGGCACACACCTGTAATCCCAGCTACTCAGGAGGCTGAGGCAGGAGAATCGGCTTGAACCTGGGAGGGAGGTTGCAGTGAGGCCATTTTGCACCACTGCACTTCAGCCTGGGCAACACAGCAAGACTCTTGTCTCAAAAAAAGTCAATGCTTTCATATATACCACCAATGGGCAATGAGAATTTGAAATTTAAAACACACCACCATTTACATTAATGAGAGTGGAAGAGGAGGAAGGGATGACAGAAGTTAGTTTGTCTAATAAAATAGATTATGAGCTCTATATCAGGAAAACTATAAAACTAAAGAGAGAAACCAAAGAAAATCTAAATAAATAAAGAGGTATTACAGGTTCATGGATAGAGGACTCAGTGCTGTCAATATGTCAATTTTCCTCAACTCTCTATATAAATTCATCACAATCACAATTGAAATCCTGAGAAGTTACTTTGTGACTATCAACAAATTGATTCTAAAGTTTATATGGAAAGGCAAACACCCACAACAGTTAACATAACATTGAAGAACATCAAAGTAGGAGGACTGACCTACCTGACTTTCAAGACTTCTTTGAAGATTACTTTATATATAAAGTAATTAAGATAGTGTGGTATTGGCAAACAGACAAATAGATGAATGGAACAGAAGATCCCAGAAAAAGACCCAAACAGAGATAGTCCACTGATCTCTAAGAACGGAGCAAAGGCAATCCAACAGAGAAAGAATAGTCTTTCAACAAATGGTGCTGAAAAAATTAGACCTCTACATGCAAAAACAACAAACAAACAAAAACAGGATATAAAATCTAGACACTGATCTTATACCTTTCACAAAAATGAACTCAAAATAGATCACGGACCTAAATGTAAAATCCAAAACTGTAACACTTCTACGTAACACAGGATATTATTTAGGTGACTGTGGGTTTGGCAATGAGTTTTTAGATAAAACACCAAATGCATAATCCATAAAGGAAAAAAATTGAGAAGCTAAACCTCTGCTTGGCCAGGTGCCGGGGCTCCTGCTTGTAATACCAGCACTTTGGGAGGCTAAGGTGGGCAGATCATGAGGTCAGGCGTTTGAGACCAGCCTGGCCAATATGGTGAAGCCCCATCTCTACTAAAAATACAAAAATTAGCCGGGTGTGGTGGCACGCACCTGTAGTCCCAACTACTTGGGAAGCTGAGGCAGAAGAATCGCTTGAGCCCGGGAGGTGGAGGTTGTAGTGAGCTGAGATTGTGCTACCGCATTCCAGCTTAGGCTGAGGATGAGATTCTGTCTCAAAAAAACACCCCCCACCCCCACACACATCCCCAACAACAAACCTCTGCTCTATGAGACATAATTAAGAAAATAAAATGAAAACCCACAGATGAAAGAATCTGTATCCAACTCAACTTTATATATAAATAAAGTTCTTATAACCGAAATATACAAGAACTCTTTCTCTCCAACATAAAAAAAAACCCTTAAAACTCAATAGTAAGAAAGCTAACAACCCAATTATAAAATGGGAAAAAGATCTGAGCAGACATCTCACCAAAGAAGATGTACAGATGACAAATAAGCATATGACATGATGCTCAACACTGTATGCCAGTAGTGAACTGCAAATTAAAACAGAATACTACCACATATCTATCAGAATGGCTAAAATCTGAAAAAGTGACAACACCAAATGCTGGGAAGGATGTGAAAGAACAGGAACTCTCATTCTTTGCTTGTGGGAATGCCAAACGGTATAACCACTGTTGTGGACTGAATGTCCCTCCTCTCCCCTCAAATTGATATGCTGAAGTCCCAACTTCCAATGTGATGGTATTAGGAGATGAGGCTTTTGGGAGGTAATTAAGTTTATATGAAGTAATGAGGGATAAAGCTCCCATGATGGAATTGGTGGTCTTAGAAGAAGATGACGACGAGATGTAGATTTTCTCTCTCCATCATGTGAGGGTAAAAGCCAGAAAGAAGGCCCTCGTCAAGAACTGAATCTGGTGGCACCCTGATGTTGGACTTTCAAGCCTCCAAAACTGTCTGTTGTTTAAATTACCCAGTTTATATTTTGCTATAGCAGCCTAGACAGACAGTCATTTTGGAAGACAATTTGGCAGTTTCTTACAAAGCTAAACATAGTCTTGCCATATGATCCAGCAATCTCACTGCTACGACTTACTCAAATGAGTTGAAAATGTATATGCACATTTATACACCTGTGCACAAATATTTACATTAGATTTATTCATAATTTCCCCCAAAGTGAAAGCAATCAAGATGTCATTCATGATCCATCTTGAGTTCATTTTTGTGAAACTTACAAGGTCAGTGTCTAATCCCAACCTCTCTCCTTTTTTTGCATGTGGATGTCCAATTCCAATACCAACTGATTGTTGTTAAATGGATAAAGAAATTGTGATGCATCCAAACAATACAATACAATTCAGCAATAAAAAGGAATGAGCTGTAAAGTTACAAAAAGACATGTAGGAACGGTAAAAAAACAACAAAAAAAGCCAGTCAGAAAAAAAACACACGATGTATGATTCCAACTATAAGACATCTGGAAAAGGCAAAACCGTGAAGATACAAAAGATTAGCTTGCCAGGAGTTAAAGGGCAAGGCAGGTGGGGAGGGACAAATAAGTAGAGGATGAGATTTTTAGGGCAGTGAAACTTCTGTATAACTATGCTATAGGGAATAAATGATATTATGCATTTTGCATAATGTAAACTATGGATTTTAGTTAATAATGTATCAGTATCAGTTCACTGATTGTGACAAATATACCATGCCAATGCAAATATTAATAATAGAGGATTGGGCATGGTAGCTCATGCCTGTAATCCCAGTGCACTGGGAAGCCCAGGCAAAAGAACTGCTTGAAGCCAGGAATTTAAGACCAGCCTGGGCAACATGGCAAGATCCTGTCTCTACAAAAATATAAAATATAGTAGGGAATGGTGGCACGCCTGTAGTCCCAGCTACTCAGGTGGTCAGGAGGCTGAGGTGGGGGGGATTGCTTGAGCCCTGGAATTCAAGGCTGCAATGAACTATGGTTGTGCCACTGCACTCTAGTCTGGGCAACAGAGTGGGACTCTCTTAAAAATGTGGGGGGAAATATGCCATGGCTGGCACTTGGTGCAGGGGTAATGGGAGGGTATATAGGGGAACTCTCTCTACTTGCGTTCAGTTTTCCTATAAGCTTAAAACTGCTGTGTAAAATGAGGCTAAGACCTACTGGGCTGCATTCCCAGGAGATTAGGCATTCTAAATCACAGTATAAAACAGAAGGTCAGCACAAGATACAGGTCATAAAGACCTTGCTGATGAAACAGCTTGCATAAAGAAGCCTGCTAAATCCCACCAAAACCAAGATGGTGAGGAAAGTGACCTCTGGTCATCCTCACTGCTCATTCTATGCTAATTATAATATATTAGCATGCTAAAAGACACTCACACCAGTACCACTGACAGTTTACAAATGTCATAGCAACATTGGGAAGTTATCCTATGTGGTCTAAAATGGGGAGGAACCCTCAGTTCTGTGAGTTGCCCACCCCTTTCCCAGAAAATTCATGAATAATCCTTGAAATGAAATGAAAGAAAGCACACATTATCATGGAACTACAGTACTACTTGAAAGCTACTTAGGTAGGTTAATAGTTGAGGCCTATTAATGGATATGCCATATTATCACATTAAAGCCATTCTCAGTGAAGGATTAAAATTGTTAGTTTTAAGAGTTGTTTTTATTTTGTTAAGAACAGTCTGTACGATGATTGATTTTTGTCAAAGAATTACTGTTTAGCATATAATCAAGAAATAACCATAAAAATGGGTAACCAGCAGCCCTCAGGGCTGCTCTGCCTATGGAGTAGCTATGCTTTATTACTTTACTTTCCTAATAAACTTGCTTTCACTTTACTCTAGGAACTTGTCCCAAATTCTTGTGTGAGATCTAAGAACTCTCTCTTGGGATCTGGATTGAGACCCCCTTTACAGTAACAGGGTTAACCTACAATAGCATGGCATTGAACTGTCCAAAGTGAAGGAAAAGTAATTTTTTGAATATTTACCATTTTGCACTATCTACAATTACATTTCTTTACATTAATTTAGAAGAGAGTTGACTGTATTATTCTCACTGTTCTATATGGCCACTGAGAGAAAGAAAATTCTTCTTTCAGTGCCGCCAGGGATAATTGTGTCCAAATCTCCTTTTTCAATTAGGAAATGGGGTGATACTTCGCAAAAATGTGTCTCATACTCCATTGATAAAAGATTGTAAAATAAGTTTTGTTTTTTTTTTAAGTCTGAGCTTTTTACCTTTTTATTTCTTTCTGGTAGTCACTAGCCCAAATATAGAGAGGAGGCAAGAAAGGAGACAGAGTGATGGCCTTTGAAAATTCACAAATTCAACAGTCTTTTTCTGTTTTTGTTACCTGTGGCCCCTAATACAAAAAGGCATTTGATTAATTTAAATTAAACTAATTAAACATGAAACTGGATAATAATGTACTGTTTTACCAAAAAGGCATGTATTAGCCCATTTTCACACTGCTATGAAGACATATGAGACTAGGTAATTTACAAAGAAAAGACATTTAATTGACTCACAGTTTCACATGGCTCGGAAAGCCTCAGGAAACTTACAATCATGACGGAAGGCAAAATAGGCATGTCTTACATGGTGGCAGGTAAGAGAAGTGAGAGCAGAGGAAATGCCAGATGCTTACAAAGCTTGTGAGAACTCACAATCACAAGAACAGCATGGGGTAAACAGCCCCTGTGATTCAAACACCTCCCCTCAGGTTCTTCCCTTAACACCTGCGGGTTATAATTTAAGATGAGGTTTGGGTGGGGACACAAAGCTAAACCATATCAAAGCAATAGCTTTAAAATGCTAGTTTGCCCTTGACAACAGATAATATCTTCAAAATACAGCTTTTGGAACCATTTATTTCCATTATTTTTAAAGAATGACATGAATAGATAGAGGGTTCAGACTATTTTTTAGCTACAACTCAAAGACTACATTCAAACCTTTTCAGGATTCTTTTCTTCACTTTTCTTTAATCATCTTAGCATATTCTAAAGACCTACTGGTAATTCATTTCCATGAAACAGAATTGCAAGGCAGTCTTTAAGACGGCAAATGCATTAATTTACAGATATATTATTTTATGCATCTGTGGTTACTCCTGTTTTCACTCAGATAGATTATTCCGTTACTAAAATAGGAATATGTACTGATGAATATTTAAGGGTATATTATAATAAAAGTCTTTTTATCAAACAACTGAAAATGCCACCAAATATATATTTTAATATAAAATCAATGCCAACCAAAATATTTGCACCAACCTATAACACAGAAACCAAAATTGATACTTATCATTAACATATATTCTTTTCAGGCTCAGAAAAATGTTCAAAGAGATTTCATTTATTTAAATGAGAAATATTTAATTAAAATTATATATCCACAATAGAACAGGGAACAGTGATTTGCCCACATACACATTAATGTAGTACAATTATATATTAAATATTAATTATATTCAGAAAAAAATAGTTTGAAGCTATTATCAGATTTTTAAAAACTGTCATGAATATAGATATAACATGCATTACTCATACAATGGATGCTATTCTGCACAAATTCTAAAATCAGGGAATCTTTATGTCTCCTCTGCATTTATTTTTGGTGTTCCACAAAATTTATCCTTTTTTTCTCTCTCTCTTTTTTAAGACGGAGTCTTGCTATGTTGCCAGGTTGGAGTGTAGTTGTGCAATCTTGGCTCACTGCAATCTCCGCCTCCTAGGTTCAAGTGATTTTCATGCCTCAGCATCCTGAGTAGCTGGGATTACAGGCACGCACCACCATACCCAGATAATTTTTGTGTTTTTGTAGAGATGGGGTTTCACCATGTTGGCCAGGATGGTCTCGATCTCCTAACCTCGTGATCTGCCCACCTCGGCCTCCCAAAGTGCTGGGATTTTAGGCATGAGCCACTGCACATGGCCCCTTTTTTTTCTCTATGAGAATAAAATTCCTCAATATCCAAATATTTGATTATTTCACTGTCACATTCTAAATTATATCGGCAGAAAATGCATCTCCCAATGTAGTTTAGTATTTTTCTGTATGTTTAACTACAAAATACAAATC